CGCCGCCCCCTCCCGGGCGAGAAGCCCAAGCGGCAACAGGTGCGTGCGGTCTGCGAGCGCCCAGTTCGGTCTCCCTCCACCGAGCCGAAAGCGCCGCTCCCTTTCCTCAAAAGGAAAGCGTTTTTGCGCGCCAAGGGAATGACCCGCTGCAGCCACGCCGCTCGGCGCCGGAGCCTTTTCTGTTGCCTGAACGCCCCGGCAAAGGAAAGCGGCAGGCAGCGGTGCCAACAGCGTGAGCTACCTACCGGCCCAGCCACCGCGATCCCGTCGCGCTGCTCTTTCTCAGCCAGCGGCTGCCGCGTGTCTCTCCTACACAAGGGGCTGGCTCGCTCGAGGCAATCCCGCCCCACAGCGAGATCTTCCCACTGCCCGCCCCTCCTTCCCGCCAGAAATACCACGGCTCTCCCTCGCCGGATGGCGCGTCAGGACGAACGGGAGGCGGGACAGAGAAGAGTCTTAGAGCTCCGAAATCAAGGCCAGAGATGAATAAACACAACTACATGGGGAAAGAGGTTCTGCACACGCTCACGCGTTCAGCTACTCCAGGGCTATGCCACTTTTAAGGGACTCGGCCCCAAACTAAAGGGTGTGTTTCTACCGCGGAAAGTTAGTGTGTTTTGTAGGAGCCCCCTTTTTTCGGGGAGCCTTCGCTCTTCCATAATCTCACGCGGGGATTCTGAGCGCGTCACGCTGCGAGCCAAAAGCAGCTGGCAAGATTGCTACCGAGGATCAAGCAAAATGCCCTGGGTGCGTTTCCCCCACCTCACAGGCTGAACTACGAATTAGCCAAACATATTTTAGCCTAGCCCAGGAGTTCTCAAACGTTGCCATCATAAATGATCGGTCAATTTGTGAAACCCTCCCATGTTTGTGGTTATGATTGGGTAAAAAGTGAATATGCCACTACTATTTCATAATTAAATACACATGCATATATCAAATAAAATGGGAGCACCTCACAACTTTAGAAAACATACACACACTGCAAGTCGCTAATAGGCATAGGTATCTCATGTAATGCCACAATGCAATGCTCAGCCTTTTGTACTTGCACCCCATTATTGGACAGAAGTAGATAATTGTAACACCACAATGCATGATTCAACATTTTTTTACATTTTGGACATAATGACAGATCTTAACAGACACCTTCAACTGTTTGATAGCATAGATAAGCAAGTATAAAAATTAATTTCAAACTAATGTTCTAGAACATGATCACTTAAAAAATACAGTCAGTGGTTCATAAACAAGGAAGGACACAGAACCTGACCTGTAAGTTTAACAATACTCTATGCTCAACCACCGTGCTTAAGGCAAAATTTTAAAAATGTTTTTACACCCCCTTCTAAATCCCCAGAGGATCACAATCCACAGTTTAAGAACCTTTAGCCTGGTGTATTATGTAATCCCAGGCCTGTATGACTAGTTTATGATTTAGTGTATAGTGTAAGAAAATTGGCTTGAGTAAACCATAGTCTATATCAGTTTTGTTTTCTTTTTAACCAAGTTCTGAGAACTTGAAGGGTTTCCATGAGAGACATTCAAATGCAGCCAATTTTCTATCACTAGAGCTCTTACTCTTGGACAGGGGTTCTGGGAGTTGTTTTTTTTAAATAACAGGATCTGCAGCCTGAAAAAGTTTGAAAACCCGTGGTCTAGGTGACCATGAGTGTATGGCGTACTTAGCCACTCTGAAGCCCGCTGTAGGTGGGCACAGTACAAAAATGAGGAATTAATCTGCTCTCGTGTAAATATGCAGTTAAGATCACACTTGCAACCTATTTTTTGCCCAGACCTAAATTTATTTTCTTGGAAGTTAAGCCTATTTAGGTGCATTATAAGTCATCTTAATAGAGGTACATTATCTGGAATGGGAAAGCTATCTTCTCCATCACCTCCATACACAACCCTTTTTGTCCTTGGGGCTGATGCTGAGTCTATTTTGATCCCTCCTTCCCCTACCTGGCATGCATTTTACTCTGGTGGCAGTCATGCCCACCCACTGCCTCTATCCCTAACGCTTTGCCTTCTCCTCAAAGTTCTCCAC